ATGTTCAATATGTGCACGCATGACCGAGTTAGGCCTGAAAATGCGCTCTGACACACCAACAAACTCATTGGTTGTGCGCGGTTGATGTACACAATCACATATTTATTCTGGGAATCCTATTAACTCTAGTGCTTTTGACAAGAACATTATCTAAAATCTGAGCCACACATGTAGGCTGCCTATTCCACAGAGTCCTCTGTAGGCCTGCGGGGTTTTTTCCACATCTAGATGCGCAGAAATAGACCACAAAGTGCATGCAATGCTGATTTTAAACTGCGTTAGAGATTTATTAAGTCACGGCAATTGAATGAGGAAGGAGGCTTAAATAAAAGAACTGCAACAAACGCAATCGTTCACACATCTTCCAGCCTATTCAATTATGCGTACTGCTCCAGTGCGGTATTTGAACTGTCAGGAGCTGCACATACAGCAGCCATCTGGTGTAGAATGACCACCTACAGGTTACAACAAATAATTTTGAGGTCAGCTGCTATAGGCTATTTTGAGGTGACATAAAAAACATTACAATTAAAAGAAAAAACAACTCAAAACCACAGCATAGGTCCGTTATCAGAACGACACAAACTATTCTTTAATGGGCGATCTCTTTCAAAAGGCCGATACAACGCCTGTAGCCTATTTTCCTCTGAAGTTGTTGTCTCACTCCTAACAGTGACTAAGCAACTTGCTTGGGTCACTCAGCTGGATCCAGTTTAGTGAAAAACAAGACTAAACCCTCAATCATCCAGCAGACTGCTGACCTCAGTCCGTAGCCTAGGTATGATCCAACGAGAGTAAAGGCACGTTTGCTCTGTACCGGCTGCGGGGGTTATTATATTATCCAGTCATCTACACTGTGTAGTTAATTACAGATTCATGTGTGGCACGAAATAGGTCTAACAGCTGCATGCTCTGGAGAGTGTCATGCATGTTGAACACCTATTCTTAACTCTACAGTCTGCGTGTGTGGTGCTTGTCTGTAGCATATGTGGAAATCATTTTTTTCTTTATGGTAAGGGGGATTAAGGAAACGAAGCCCCCGTTTAATACCAAATGCCATATATATATAAAGCATGCATAATGATTAGGCTACCTGTATGCACACGGCACCCTGACTACAAAACTGCCCTACAAGACCTTTGCACGTTGCACATAACCTAGCCTATAAATAGCCTAAGTGTAGTATATTGAATCTTAAAGTGGGTCCGACAGGGATGGTTGCAAGAGAAAGATTAAAAAATACAGAATACCCTTTATTTTTTGTTGTCTCATATGATCGCTGCATCTGAACTGATACCATCCGACGTCTCACAACAAAAGGCTGATCAAATTGGCTTAATGATGACGTTACAGTCTCTGAGCTCTCTGTCTTTCTCTTTAAATGTGACTGCATGTTCCATGGTACTGTCTGTGTGGTATAGCCGGGCTTTCCCGTTTGCGCGCACAAGAGGAACCAGCGTCTTGCCCAGATACAAGCCAGCCAATGGTGTTTTAACGGCGGCGGCACTGCTGCACTGCAGGCGCGCCGAGACCAATCGCATCCACAGTCTGAGGTGCGCCCTTCTTCCCTTTCTGTCTCTACTGACTGTTTGTTTGTGCATTGCAAAATATGGCAGCTAAAGAAGTAGTCTTAAACGACATCCTTTGAATCAGATCGTATTAAGATAATTGTTGTCCTTCACTGAGAAATAAATACCGTAGGCTTCATAAAGCGTTAGGGAATGCTCTGATTCCCTTAAAAGATTCCGATAGCCTTTACCAACATGTTACAATTTCACAGCAGATCTTAATAAAATGTGGATACCTTCCAAAAATCAAATGTTTGGTAAAGATAAGATGGATTTGCTCTCCCTCTCTATGACCTTCCCAAGGCTTCAGCTCTCACTGAATAAAACAATTTTGCAAATAGTTATTGTGCATGCATGAATGGAATTAGCAAATAATGTGATGAGTGGGGACACATATGATTTATCTTTACTAGGCCGTCGCTTTGCTGTCTGCAAGTGAATGGAATTTGTGGCAGCAGGAGTGTGAGATGATCCTCCTTGACTGGAAAGAAATTATAAGAAAAAACTGTTTCAGTAGTGAATGTGGCATCAGTGTATCCACGTCTAAATAAAGACTGAAGAGAAAATACAATCCACCATGGCATTGAATTTGCAGACTGTCAGTCTGCAAACTGTCTGCAAACAACCAAAGTACCAAACTAACTACACATTCTGCAAACTACCTTAATCATTTGCACCTAACGCAGTTATGACGGCAAATATTATGACAAGTGAATTAGATAAGATACTGGTCAGTGTAATAAATCACTGACCACTGTGAACTGTCATTGTATTTAAATAGAGGTTTTTGTCTTGATCTCTGCTCTCAGCTGTTTGAAAATATCTGTATGTGGGATCATAAGTCTTTAAAGTGTTTAAATGAAGCTGTCGGCCCTGGACATTATTCCGTAAAGCGCTTTGTTCTTGTCTTGCAACCCCGAAAAGCCGTTCATTATCATCTGTGCTTTTATCTGACTGGAGAGTTTTTAATTCACTGAAAGGACAAAATCAGTGGTTCTGATTACATATTGAGTCATTCTGACAAATGTTCCGAATTAAATTTATTAAGCTGTTTGATTCAGAGGCTTTATACTGTCTGACGGTGATGCTGCAGAAAGTCAATATTCTTTGCACAGAGTCAAGAGAGGAGGTAAATAAATGTCATTTGCAGGTTTGGAAACTTTGGATCTTAACATTTAATTCGACGTTCGTACATTCTTTCAAATCAGCGATACCTTTGCAAGAGTCTTTTCCATGTAGGCCTACACGTTTTTAATCTTTTTTTTTTTTTTTTTTTTGCGGTGGAAATATCTAAATCGTCATTTGACATGAGTGTGACGCATTCAGATTAATCTGACTATGCCTTTGGTCTGTATAGGAAGGAGAGACTCGCATAAGGTAGCATCCTTTATTGAGATATTCTACTATTTTAATAGTTGGTTTGGCTATTAGTACTTCCGAGAAATGAGGCTGGAATAAGTCTGAGTCCAGATGATCTATAATCTATTTTCCAAAAGTCAGTTATCAGTTATCGGGTCATCGATTCGGCCTGCATGAAAAAGTCACATTAATAAGACTTGGTTATTTTTTCATCTATTTTGCCCTCAGTTGTTCTCTGTTTATTTTACTCTTCAGTTAATTAATGAATGGAAAATGAATAGTTTAAAGGTTTGCCAAAGATACTAAAGACAATTAAACTAATGTCTAGTATTGTGAATAATTTTCTTATTACTCTGATTATTTGACCTATTCCATTGAGCCGCAACTTTCCCCTGAAAAATTAATAAATAAATAAATGAATAAATACAAAATAATGATAGTTCCGGTATACATTATTGTTATTATTATTACCCTTTATTTTTCGGTCTTATTGTTTTGTATTAATTACAAGCCTAAATAATTACAATAAAAAAAACAATATTACCCACCTTTGCTAAGGAGTTGCCCCTTTGAAAGGCCTATATTTTGTCTTATTTTCATATCATAAAAATGTAGCTACTTACCGGCCTGTGGATTGTAGACTGAGCATAACAGTGACCTGATTCATGAAACATCGCCACGTCATTGTCACTCATTATTATTACTATTTTTATTTATTTATTTGAATAGTTACTTAGGATTTGGGTAGGCCTATATGGTTTTATTTTATTTTGTTAAGTCACAATTTTAGAGTTTAAGACACAAAACTAATAGATAGCCTATATTTTCCTTTCTCGGGTGTTTAGCCTATTTTTTTTCTGGGTGATTGCGTTGGCTGGTGCATTAAAAAAATATACAGATTATTTCTGCATTTGCAGATCATTTTGACTGAGTAGCCAATCTCATTATCAGAGAAAAGGCATATGATATAAAACCATTTGTTAAGAAATATCAGAGGCGGACCGCAACCACTTAATGTTTTATTGAAAGGATCAATCAGAGTGTGAGCACAGAGATGGAGGTGATGGGTAGGCTCGACGCTAATCGGACCTTTGCAGTGAATGCAGACAAAAAGTCTATGAAATGCTTCCCTGACCTTTGCCGGATATTTAGGCTTACATGGGCTACATCAGCCGGTCTTTTCTTGGTTCATTTTCATGGCATCAGCTTCGTTTTTCTAACATTGCATAAATCACAGTCACCAATGGTCAGTAACAGAAATCCTACAGACTGTCAATTCACCCGATTTCAGATTAAAAAAAAAAAAAAATCAAAACCACCTCTCTGCTTTACTTGGATGTCAGGTCTTTGATTCAAGAGTGAAGTCCACTGGGTAATTATTACAAACTAAGAGCTATGGCTGACTATATGCAATAGGCTAAATTTAGTACATATGCCTGAATACTTTCCCTTCAAATGTAGCTACATTTAATGGTTAGCCTATTAGATGAAATTATATGAAAACAGATAGCCCATGATTTTCCCTGACAGGCGCAGTGTATTGATCCTCTGTGCTTGGCCTGAAACAGAAAGGACAAACAAAATTAATGCGAGCATACACTTGTAGCGAGTTGACACATAGTGTCATAAGGTGTGTGCTAATGGACTAATAGGTCCATAAGATCGTCTGGGTACTGCATGAGCTGATAGATACAATGCTGGATAGACTTAACATTAATTAAGGATGTCTCTTATGTTATTTCTAGCCGCATAAAGCAAACGGCATTGTCATTTCCTGGTTTCTCTATTTGCTTGACGACACTGTCGCGTGCACAAACTGCTTCTGTTACCGCGTGCATTTTTGAATATCTCAAATAACTTGCGCGAAATGATTCACCCGCCGCGCGGGGAAAGAGCCACCATTTCCCCCCCGAAAGAATTCACACAGGCGCACGCTCCTCCCCTTACTTAGCAACCCGAGCACGTAGCAACGGTGGGACCAATGGGCGTTCTTCTAGAGGTTCCACCGACTGCGGTTCCTTAGCAACGCAGTAAAAAATTGCGCTGACGTCCATTCTGAGTATTATGGTCTGTCGGGAATTCAGAGTGGCTGGGACTGGAGAAAAATATCTGTTCTGCTAACGTTAGCGTCCACCAAGCTAACGGTAGGTAGCACTGGAGTAAACATGGAGCTGTCCGCCGTCGGGGAGAGGGTGTTCGCCGCCGAGTCTATCATTAAACGGAGGATAAGGAAGGTAGGCGTGAGATGTAACGTGCCCTTTTTTCCCAGAGCGTTGAATTTAATGCATCAACACCGCACTCTATACTACTGTTGCCCTGCAGGCTAATGAAGTCATTTCTGTTTGTTTCTGATGGCATGCAGGGTCGGATTGAATACCTTGTGAAATGGAAGGGCTGGTCTCCCAAGTAAGTCCTGCTACATTGTGTCTCTTGTATGTTTTCAACCCGCGGCTGTGGTGTCTGTGCTGTCTCGGCTGTGGCTGTCGTTAGCTCGCCAAGGCTAGCGAGACAGCAGCCCGGATTAAAACTGAGGTGTAGCACGATGGAGATTTTTAGCTCTCAAGCTAACGCCACGGCCATCTCCACAGTGTGCGTGTCAGCGCTCGCTTCCTCAGTGTAACTAATGTTTTAATTCACAGATACAGCACTTGGGAACCGGAGGAAAATATTTTGGACTCCCGCCTGTTTGCCGCTTTCGAGCAGAGGTAACGTTAAGATGTCTGGGCTGGCCTTTATGGGCAGAGCCAGTGAGTGTTAACGTCCAATAACGTTAAATATACGGTGTCCTTGGTGCACTTTGCTCCCGTGACACTGAAAGTGGGTGTCTGTCACTATATTTTTCACAGGGAGCGTGAGAGGGAGCTCTATGGGCCCAAAAAGAGAGGACCAAAACCCAAGACATTTCTGCTCAAGGTAAATTCAGCAGCCTTGTTTCGTGTGTTCTGTAACGCGACAGTGTCATCATCCCGATATGATCGTATTTTCAATAACAACATTGTCTAACATTATATGATGTGTATCATGGTCCCCTCACTGTTCATTTAAGTACATGTAAATTCACGTCGGCCTCATTGTATTTCCCCGAAATACGCAAAGCTCCTTAATGATGCTAATGACGCATATTCAGTGTATTTAGTTTGTGTATTAGCTAATGGGGAACTGTTGACATGCTACAGGGCGTTTGGAATACATTAAAAAAAAGCCATTCCTGTCAGTAAAGCTGCCGTTGGAGCGTCATACTCATAGTCCTTAATTTTTTTGGAAGATCCGTTTTTATTGTCACAACTCTCATTAGATTCAAATACATAAAGGACTGTACTTTACTTATCAGAGTAGAGAGGTGGCTTTGGTGTGGCTTTTTTTCTATATCCTGTCCCTCCCTAGAGATTCAAATATTTTTTCTTAAGCCTCCCTGAGTGACTGGGGGTAAATGCATGACCCTCCCTACACCATAAATAACCTTATTTCACAGTTTCTGGGTGTGATAAATAGTGTGATTTTGGAGATGCCTTTCAAACCCACTTGTGGGTTTTGGAGTTCTAAGGGTATTCAAAATAAATATAAAATACGCCCATTTAAAGTTGAAAGTTTCTACCATTTGCTGAATTGAAAAACATTACTCCTTCCCCAGTGCTTAAAAAAATATTTAAAGTGCTTTCCCCATTATGCACCATCACCTCTCCTCTCATAAATAATGAACTGTCCCTAAATGTGACTGCTCTGTAGTTTGAAATGATCAATCTAGCCAGATGTAGCGAGCCAGAGGTTTCAGCTTTCCAGAACAACAGAGTGTGAAAGTTGCTTGATGACGGACAGTTTATCTTGTTCTAAATACCAGAATGTCCATTGACAGGACTCAAAAATGAGTTAATGGACTTTCACCAATAATTAGAGATCTGACAGGAATCATTTGTGGCTGTCGTTAATGCAGTAGCTTCTTAGAACATGTTTGAAACTCACACTCACACTCATTTTTCAACTTGTTGAAATGTCGGATACATGGAGTTTAATACCTGTGCCCAGTGCCTGGCACGGGCAGTAATTTAAACAACATTAATAGGCCTTTCTCAGAGAACATATTTTGACATGCTACAGTCGGCAGGGTTTTTATGGTCATGGAACCTGGAAAAGTCATGGAATTAGTAAAAATCATTGAAAGTTTTGGAAAAGTCATGGAATTTTGTTGTGTGTAATTAAATAAATTGTTACAAATGTAAGTGTCTGACTGTGCCTTATAGTTTGAAGTGAACAAAGCAATTATTAGAGATTGGAAAAGGTTGCTGATTAATTTTCATATCATAATTAACATTTGGAGTAAAGCATACTACGATTGTGTTATGTGTTGTGAATGGGTCCTTGAAAAGTCATGGAAAAGTTTTGAAAATTTTGGCCAAGAAAATGTGTGGGAGTAGGAAGAGCACAATATTCCGTGTTGCTGCTCCAGTGTCCAGGGTCCTGGTTTGTGTATGCTACCTCAGTGTTGTGCTGTCATGGTTCTACAATGACAAGTCAAAATGCATTCTGTGAAAAAGGCCTGTTAAGTCAACTAAGAAATAAAAAACTTTAAGGTAATAGTTTATTTTTTCTGTATAAATCTGAATCATAAATCCCCTCTCTTTTTCCTACCTTTCCAAAAGGCTCAAGCTAAAGTTAAAGCCAAGTCCTATGAGTTCAGGAGTGATGCAGTCAGAGGGATGAACATCACTTACCCAACCCCAGAGCCAGTTGTCACCCCCAGGGCCAGAGAGGGCCTGAGAGCTGTTGTTCCCACCATCTTCCCACCCAGTACTGTCAACCGCGGAGAAAGCTTACGCGTCAGACCACCAGAACTGAGCAGCCGTGAGTACCAGCAGCCTTCCCTTCAGCAAACCAGTCCAGAAGACCTCATCCATATACCCAAAAAAAGAGGTCCAAAGCCAAAGCCTCGCTTCAAGGACAGCAGCTGCAGCCCTGCAGTCTCTGAGCCCCACAAGAGGAGAGCAGAGGAGCAGGTGAGCCACAACCCTCACAAACTGGCTAAGGTCCAGGCGGGGGGAGAGATGAGGCTGGTCAAAGTGGCCCACAGACATCCAGAGATCCACGGTCACAGTCATAAACACCACCATCACCACCACCACCACCATCACCACCACACACACAACCGGGGAATCTCGGGTGGAAGCTCCTACAAGCTCTACTCAGACCGCAGCGTGCATCCACACAGAACTGACATGGACACACACAGGACTAAGGACAGCTCCACCTACCTGGCACCTGTACACTTCAAGCACCAGTCCAAAATGAGCCAGAGCTTGAGTCGTCCTGCTGAGCTTCCACAGATGGAAAAGCCTTACTTCTTGGACAGGCCGTCCCCGACCAGGCTCGACGATGACTTGGATGAAGTGACATGGAGGCCCTCTATTGGGGATGTGGAAAAGGTCATGGTGACAGACGTGACGACCAACTTCCTGACCGTCACCATCAAGGAGAGCAGCACTTCTAAAGGTTTCTTCAAAGACAAAAGATGATTGACTGATTTTTTTTAGGCCGCGCTTTGTTTTCTCTGACTTGCATCAGAGTCATTCTGACGCCTATAGGACATAGTGTGATTACTAAGCCAAGCAGTTTTGTATGTAATGTATAAAATCAAGTTACATAATGTGCATATGTATATATTATAAAGTCGGGCATCTGTTTAATGTATTGACCAAATCAAATGAAGTCCATTTCACATCTTGCACTGGTGAACATGACTGAGTTGCATGTTTCCTTTGCAGCAGCTGTCTGTACAGAGCTTGTGAATTTTACTATTTTGCAATTGTAACTAACTAGAATGTATTTTTATTTCACTCTCATATCTTCCAGCCTGAGCTCAAGCTAGCAGATTTTTTAGAAGTGAAGTGAGGCTTAGATATTAAATTCAGTCTGTGGATTGAATATTTCTTATAATTTGAACTGATTAGACTGAATATACCCTGTTTGATTCAATAGGGTCGATATTTAAAAATGTACTCAAGCACTTTGAATTCAAAAGTATTAAGAAATAATCTGTCTGTGTTGTATTCAGAGTCCAAGTCTGGCTCGGAGTTTGTCATGTCTAACATTTCTAATTGTAAGATAAATTAATAAATTCAACACGGACACTCTACGAGTTTTCCCAAGCTGTGTATAACTACTTTTTCCATTAACATGGTATATTTTACATTTTTTCATAGAAAACCTTCATAAAGCTTTAATGTAATAAGATAATTACAAAGTTGGTGTCAAATTGCTTTTTAGACGCTTTCCAATAAACCCTTTGAATTTTCTCATGTGGTCGTGTTTTACTCTCAGTTATTATCACAGCGCCGTCGGCCTCGACATGTTTGTAAATAATTGGAGGCAACGCCTGAACCCGTACATGAATGAAATAATACATTTAATAGAAACCTGTTACGTAATTAGGCCTTTAGGTCACCATCTAAATGGTTAGGGTTAATTTATCGTTTCTTATATATGTTTTAATGACCTTAATTCCAGTCATAGGTCATTGTGAAATTTATTTAAAAATGCGTTATTTTAAAGGGTCACTCGTGCAAAGAGCAGAAGTTACAGGCCTCAGGCTTGGACAAAAACACAAAAACCTGCTGCAGCAGGCCTACATTCATCTCTGCTCAGAGTTACAGTAGGTTTGCAGAAAATTGGATTCTGTCTGTATCTATCCACAGCAGCCCGTAGACCTGTTGTGGACATTTGATTTTAATGTGTGCGTCTACGTTTTAAAAGTTTAGTCATTTGAATAAATGACGATGACAAACATGCAACTGTTCATTCTCACAGGCCCCAACCGCTATATTCCAATGTTTCTTATTCATTATTTTATTCATGCTGTATCGTTTCAGAACAAGCGGCGCATTTATTTATGTCTTGTATAGCCTAATGTTTATTTTTACACAGGTAAAATATATAGTAGGCCTATTTATTAATACCACAAATACAGCAGTTATAGAGTGTTTACAGATGTTCAGGATGCGCTTTTTAAAATACATATTTCCTCTTTTGAATGGCCTATTTTTTCTGATCAGGTTTTCTATAGGCCTATTTCTCCCGACTGTGCAGCCGGATGATCAACTCTCCACTGCTCTCTGCAGACATGACACCGCCGTGTTCATGCATGACGCATTAGATCCACCTATAAGCTTCGGCAGCACATAGCCTACCTTAAATGCACAGGACTGCCGATTAACCCATAAACAAGCGCCGTCTCTTTTGTGCAGTGGTTCCACATGAAGCGAAATAAATTATTTACTGTGCTTTTGATCACGTATCTGATCCCAGTCCTCTCTAAATCAAAAACTGAAACTGAACCAAAGTTAAAGGCTATAACATGCCAAAAATATAGATTTTTTCTCGCTGCCAAGGGGTTAACTAAACGTCTGCACCTCATTTCGATGTGATGCGGTAAACCAATTCTGTCACTAACAGGAGCTGTTTGGCTCTCTCCGTGAGGGAACAAGAGTGGGCTGAAACTAAAAGGTGTGCAGCTGTCAGCCTCTCCTCTTATGTCATATTAATAATAACCATAACACAAACATTGTTACTCATGCATTTGGATTTATTTGTGATTATATAATACATCTCACTCTGAAGGTGACTGATACACAATTGAGAGAATAAATGCAGAAACCACTGAAAACAGTAAACTACACAGCTGTAATACAGAGAGATACATGCATGACCATTTATCCACTCTTCACATGGTCATATCTCAGCAGAGAGGGTGTGTCTTCCCATCTTTTAATTTTTCAAGAGTTTTCCCCGTTGGGTCCATGCTGTCACGTCTGGTCCTTCACTGTGAAGAGAAAACAGGGACAGAACAAATGATCAGGTGAAGTCAAACATGATCTGTGAAGCAGCATCCTAACAGGCTGTATCAGACATGAAGCATATTTCAGTATCACTCAGAATCAGTGGCAACAGTTTTGAAACAACCCCTAGGGCTTCACTTTGCTTTTACAGCATCTGATCATTTTATAAGCAGAAAGCACAGAATGTTATGCAAGTTTTTATTTTAGTGACAAGCCGATGTTACTCAGTTCCAAACTATCCCAACATTATTTTTTAATTTATTGTCTACATTGTCTGTGAAATACAGTTTATATGAAACCAGTTTGAGTTTTAAATGATTTCAGCAAGGTAAGTGACTGTGTTTAAGGACTACCAACTCCGGAAGGTGTTTTACAGGTTTCTGAGGTTTCCTGCTGTGCAAAACTGTCAAGATAAAATCACAAAAATAACAAAACAGGAAGAGAAATAACATTACAGCTATTACAAAATGTCAACATCCTGTAAAAATAAGCAATCCAGTATGCAAAAGAGAAAAAGGTAAAAAAGATATAGTTGTAGATGACTGAGGTGTCTTCACTGTGAAGCAGAACAGTTTGTTTGTCCTTTTGAAATGTTAAAAAAGTCATATCACTTCTGAACTGATAATAAATCTGTAATCCCAAATGTTTGTGTGGAAGAAGGATTATGTCATGTGTTGGGGTCTTGTTAGTAAAATCTGTGTGAAATGAAAATTGATGATTAAGCTGCTGTGTATGTGAATGCTGTTCAATTCATGTGCAGTGTGCATTTTGGGGGTTGAAGCGACATTGTGGGGACCTCAGTCATCACCATCATCAGACGGGGTGTCCGTAGTTCCTGTCACAGTGAGGGTAGCAGTGGGGGTTCAGCCAGTGCTCCAAGTTAGTCTCCTGGGCCCTCTGATCCAGAGCCTGCATGTGGAGCAGGTGCTCCTGAGGGGGAGGAGGAAGGCAAATAAGGTTGAGGTACCGAAAGAGGAAAGAAGAAAGCTGGTATAACTGTATATGTTTTGCCAGCCACATTTGCACAAATGAAACCGAGTGTTTGAAGTGGGGGAATCAGTGCTGACTCAGATCTATGAATTCCTCTGCTTTCATTTTTGCATCACACCACAACAGCACAATAAACTGCACAGAGTGAAATTACAGAGATGAGTATAGGGCTAAGCAGAGGGAAACATGCTTGGACTTGTACTCTGATGAACTGATGCCTTCAGAGCATCACAATGCACAAACACGTGGTGACAGATATAGAAAGAGCTGCTGCAGTTACAATAGTTGTCAAAGAAATGACAGTGACAAAGGCTGGACGTGCCTGTCTTATATTAGTCAGATTTGTAATATATTCAAAAACCCTGTGTCTTATATAAAGTTTTGGGATGAATGTTTTCTATAGCAAGTCAACCAGGCTCTGTTATAATAAGTAGGTAATATATTTTTTTTAAAAAGTGGCAGAGGGCAGAATAAATAAGGTGTTTGTGTGGAGTAAATCACAATGTTCTCCAGGCGCAGGAGGGCTCTGCTCAGGCCTGCTTCCAGACTGCTTTGAATAGTGGCACAGTAAGAAATGTTGGTTGGTAATATGAATTCATACTCAGGGCTGTATGCATAACATGAACTGTTTCACGTTTTTATCTCAAGCTGAATGGGTGCTGTTTTTTAGGGTTTGAGGACATTTGGGGTGTAGACCTGACCTCAGCAGGGGGGTCCAGGGAGGATTGTGCCCTGAGAATATTTTTTTGATAACAAGCTCTATTTTGATACTCCAGGTTATTAGTACAAAATATAAACCAACTAATAACATGTGATGTATTAATATAGATTAAACTACTCAGCAGTGAGCCTATATTTAAAATGAGCTCCACATTTATCAGCTGCAATGTTAAAGTGATGAACACATTAATGCATCAGTAATTATACTACAATAATACAATTCTGAAATGGGCCATTCTGCATAATGAGTACTTTTACTTTTGGTAGGCTATTTTACTTTGATGTTAATACTTTTGTACTTTCACTTGAATGATATTTCGAGCGCAGGACTTCTTGCAACAGAGTATTTCTACAATGTTGCTTCTTTTCCTTGAGTAAATAACCTGAGTACTTCTTCCACAACTGTACGTTAGTCTATTGGAATATTTAATAGGTTTTCTTTTATTCACACACAATTTTCAGACACAGCTCGTGCAGTGCAGTGAACGAACTGTTGCCCTCTCCATCAGCTGCAGCTGTCTGTCTGACTGTCAACAGTCTGAGAAATAAAGTCAGTTCGCGCACGGAGTTTTCAAGGAGTAAAATGAATGTGTCATGTAGCTACTTGTTTAGTTTGTTTTGGATCTACACTGTAACATTATGCGACGCGACCTCTGACAGAGAACCGTATTTGATTCGACATGTTAGGGCCACAATCTAAAGAGTACAGTACTGCAATACACTCCTCTGTCACCCGGGGTGCAAGTAGCCTACCAGACTCCCTTTAAAAATCGCAATTTTGTGAGTTGTTGAGTCAGGGAAAGCTTTATAAACGCTCTTAAACACGGACTACAACAAATTCTTAATGATTTGACTCCTCTTGTAAATTCGGCGAATGTAATACGTGGGGGAATTTCATTCTTTTTTATTAACAAACCCGTTTTGTCAGTTTGTCCGGGTGTGTCAGTAGCCTACCGGACGGGAAAAAAAGTCTGACACACCGTCTTGTAGGTGTAAGACCAGACGGACCTGTCAGCCAATAAAACACGAGTATTTCCACGTAGATTTGTAAACCATTTCTGATGGTCTTGCCTCCTTCGCGTTCACCGAAGATAAAAATGGCAACACCGTTTTCAATAGTTAATCCACTTGCAGATGTACCCAGTTTATCAGTCTTGAGTCTTGAGATTTTGCACATAAACTAACTGCTGTAAATCGTATCATCTTGTTCCATGATTAAACAGAGATTTGATATTGGACAACATCAACATACATATTACCCAGCAATTACCATTACATATCTGTATATGACAAAAACTACAAAAGAAAATTATTAGTTGAACTAAATCGTTTTTATAGCCATATTATAGTTGTGTTATAGTTTATGCAGAATAAGAATTTGTTATATATTGATATTTTACAAAAACACAAAGCCATGACAGAGATGGGTTTGCCTTTTTGAGGGCATATATAGAAAATCCCACAATTTCTGATTTAATGGGAGTTCTTCTTTGAATGTGGGCGTATTTCCAAGTGGCAATCAGTCTCCTCATCTCAATGGGCCCCAGTGCAACCACACTCCCTGCACTGTCTATATTTACACTCCTGGCTCAAAGTGAGAATTATTCAGGGCTGCAGTTGGCTGTGTTTGGCATCAGTGGGGCAGGCAGAGAGGTGGCACTGCGTCCCTGTGCCCATGCCTAAAACTGACCTCCGCTTTGCTCAGTATTTAAGGGGGTGAACATGGTGTATATTTACAGGACTAACTTATGCTG